ACGTTGAGTATGTGAGGTGGCTTGGTTGGCTGGGGTATTTTCAGTATTGTACTGCCAGTTTATGGTGTATTGTTACACTAGGACTGCCAAACCTCAATTTTATCTGTTTCTTCTCCTTCCTTCCTTCATGTTGAATGTCTGAAACTGGGGGGTTTCTTGGTTAGTTTATCTTCTGAAATACATTGTGAATGAAATAGTTTTTAACTAGTAGTAACTAACTAGGGAACATTAACAAGAAGTTATTCTGCCAGTTAAACCTAATAAAAAGCTGTTTGATTTTCTGTGTCAAATGTAAAAAAGGAAAGTTATTGACAGGGGAAAAAAGGGTGGTTAAACTTCCCTGCAGAAGAGCAGATGTACTGTGCAAGAACATCAGTTATTTTAAAGCTGAAGGAAATTGTCAAATTCTCATTTGGGATATTACTTTCTTGGCAAGGGCATCTGTAAACAGCCTGTCATCTGAAAGGAATGCAGCATGAACAGAAGACCTTCTTTTCCACTTTTGTAGTATGCGATTTTTTTTTTTTTTGAATCGGAATTCCAGGCATTCTGGTGTTTTACCTGAAGTCGTGTACAAATCGGTGTCAAGTATTGCTGCTCATCTTCACGTATCTTTTGAAATCACTGATTTCTTCCAGCGAAATAATCACAAAAGCCTGGTGCAGAAGGACGGGGAAAATGTCTCACTTCTACAGTTTGTTCAGTACAAAGCTTCCCTCTCATTAGAGACTCTGTTCATGAGAAATTTTTGGATGAGAAGGCACTTACGGAGTTGGCAGTGATTGAATGAGCCACAAAAGGAAAGCTTTTCATTCCTGTTTTCTTTCCTTAGTGGAGAAAGGAAGTCTAAGATTTATTGTGTACCTTTGTAGCCTCTGCAGATTTATCAAAGGAAGATGTTTTGCATTATGTCTGGTCATCCCCATTATGTGTTTTGACTTTTCCAGATGCGTTTGGAACTGTCAACCTTTGGGATTTCTCCTTCTGTATCTTGATAAGGTGGGTTTGCGGGAGGTATCTTTTTTTTTTTTTTTTTTTTAAAAGAGCTGTCAGTCCTAGCTCTTCCCTTTTGTTTGGAAGTATCATCAGGATTTTTTAGCAAATATTTTGCAACAGTAGCTTCCCACCTTTATCTGCATGGTTGCAAAAAGCTAAAGCATCTTCTGTCTAGGAAAACACTGGATTTCACAATTTGCAGTTGAAACCAGCAGAAGGCTAAGACAGAGAAATCTGTTTTCTAGCTGTCAGTATTTGTATGTCTTTTTAGATTTAGTTTACTTGCCTGTCTTCTCTAGGGTTGAGGGTTTGTGGTGGTTGAGTATACGTATTGTCCATATATGTGCAATGTTTCAGTGACTCAACTTCATAATACCCCTCAGAAATATACTTTTAATTTAGCTATTCCTGGCTCTTAAGATACAATCAAATTCTTTGCAGTCTAAGGTACTGAAGACTATGAAATCTCTTGAAGCTAAAAATAACGAGACTGAACAGAAGAGTCTTCAAGTCTTTGAATAGTGATTCCTAAAACTGTTTTGCTGATGTCTGTTAGTGAAAAATGATCATGCCTTTCAGAGAGGGAAAGATTTTTTTTTTGTGTTATTTGGACCACAAGAGGAAAAAGTGATGTTTTTTTCCTTAATGAGAACACTGTCAGCTTGTGGAAGTAGCGTGTGTAAAGGGATATTTCATTTTGCTCTTCTCTTGGCAGGCAGCCGAGGATTTGAGTTTCAGAATTCAGGTTGATGCTGAGACCACCTCCCACCTCATTTAAAAACTTGATTACCCTCACTTAAAAAGCTTCCTACAGAGTAAATTCAGGTGTCCAAAATTCCTTTCACCTGGGAACAGAAAGATCCGGACTATTTTTTCTCCTTTCTTTTCCCTCTCTTTCCTTATTTATTGAGATATTAAACTGCAAGTTTTGTACTGCTTTTTCCCTTCGCCACTGTTTTCTTAGCTCATGTTAACTCTTGCTTTCTCAATTTTTTGTCTAAGCTCACCAACTGAATTTATGGCAGCATCATTTAGACGCCTCTTCCTCCCTCTCTATCCCACATTCCAGGGATCTTTTCAGATTTTCTCTGAAAAAAATAGTAGTAAAGTTTTTCACTCAGCTCACTAATGTTTCTTTCTAGTGGTATACACAGTAGTTTAATGAATATTCAAGATTATGTCAGAGTGGTGATTCTGGAGCATCAAATAGGAAAATGTGTGCTCATAAACAAAAAGGTGTGCTTGGGTGTGTGTTGGGAAGGTGCCTGCTATATCCTCTTTGCATTTCTGATCCTAAATAGTTGAGATCAGTGTTTCCCATCCGTTGTTATGTTGTAGATGCTATTTCAGTGATTTTGTTACGAAATGTTAGTCTTCATCCTTTGCAAGCTGCTTGCTATATTTCTACACCTTTTCTTTTAAGGTTTTACATTATACTTTTCAGTGATGTTGCTGACTTGATGTTGTGTTCCATCCAGTATTGAGCTGGTGTGGTTTTGTAGCTGCGTGGTGAATTGTGTTGGGAATTGACTGGTTGGATAAATCAGGTTTTCTTTGTGGGGGTTATTTTGCTGTGGGATTTGTTCCTGATCTGGGTCGTCATGTGGCTACCAAGTATTGCACCACAGCCTTAGATTAAAATGTTTCTAGGACTTTAACCCACTCCTCTTATAGAGAGGCATTCTTTGACCTACCAGGGAAATGTGTAAAGTGTACTTTCCTTCCGGATAGTTTTATTTACAGTAATGAACAAAATTCAAGCTCTAGAACTTGCCTTTCCTAAGTACAGTTCACAAGCATCAGGTTGTATCAGAAACAGCGTAGCTTCCAGTCTTCCCCACAGTCTCATGGAATGCCTGGGGAAACTAATGTCAAAAGTGCTTGAATTATATTTCTTGGAAGTAAACCAGTTATTTTTGACAGACATGAATTCTCAGTGAATTTAAATTAGCAGTCTAGGGAGAAACTGATTAAGTCTAGAGATCACGTAGCCCAATAGGTTGTGTAGATTTCCAGTGTGAGAAAGATTTTGAGACAATTAAACAAGAGTAGCTGCTACCTTTACTTTTTCATTCTCTTCTCCTCCTCCCTCACCCAGAATTGCACACTCACAGAGAGTAAGTATCAAGTTCTTTAAATGTCTTTTGCTCTTGCCTTCCCAACTACTAAATCCATGAAAAATAGCTAATATGTATTATTACCAAGGTGAATGTTCTTACTACTAAGGTCTGTATGACTTGGATATCTAATTTGTGAAACCATTCTTTGTACTGCTATTTTTGTGTTAGACTGAAAAGCGTATCTATACTTTATCATAAGGCATGTTTTTCACTCTTACTGTTTCCTTCAGTGTGAAAGAGGAAAATTTTTCTATAAGCTTTTGAAGAACTTCTTTTAAAAGAAAATTGGAGCACATTTTTATGGGAAATTGAGTTCTTGCTAAGTTACCTGGATTGTAGTGATATTGTATAGTAATAGTCACATAATAATTTGCAAAATGCTCTGTGAAAAAATACTTCTGAATTAGGAAAAATACGGACTATATGAAAGAAATTTTAACATAGCTAGAAATCGAAATGAAACCGCATTGAAAAATATTGAAAATTATACTTTAAATCTTTTAATAAAAAGTTATTCTAGGCTGCCCTGCTTATCTGAGGCAACTCAGAACTCAGTGAATTTTTATGAATTTGAGTGTATCTGAAATTTCTCAAGGCTGTAGGGATTTTGATAATTATTAAAATAAAAATGGGATAAGTGACAATATACAAACTTAAATCGTAGGTTAATTTATCCGTACCAGAGAACAAAATACTTAGTGCTGGTAATAGCTTTGTCATTTAAAAAGGCAGTATATTTAGTGATTGGTGTGCATAGGCAAAACTTTCTGGGAGGAACAATTCTCTCTGGGAGACACAAAGGCTACATTCTGCCTTTCACAAGGATCCTCGTGGTTTTGGTCATCCTCAATAAATCCATGTCACATGAAGGTTTACCTTGGGAAATCTGAGATGTCATTTTATCACAGTCGAGCTCACCAGTAGGATAAAGAGTTTTTTACCACTGAGAATACATCTATTAAAAAAAAAGCATTCCTTCAAAAGAATAATTCATTATTTCTCAGAAGAAAAATGTTGCGCACTGGAGATAGAGAACTGCCATGTTCTTGGGAGTAGCTGGCATGCAAGGTGTGGCTCTGGATACAACGTCTGATGGGCACTGTGCCACTAGCGGAAGTATTGCGTTTAAACAGACACGCTGAGCTTTCATATTGACACACTCTCATAGTAACATCACCTACTGAATCTAGCAGTGTTTATCTGGGATTCATTCTGAAAGCTACAGGTTTAAAAATTCAGATCCAAGAAGAAATTAAGAGGTCCTGGAACAAAATTACCTTCATTGACTTAGACTCAGGTCTTAAGGTTTTTGCCCCTTATTGGAGGACCATATGGAGTGATTTTTTTTCACATTTCATATCCAGAAGGGCATCCATTCAAGGTCTCCTGCATCTAGTGGGTATATGTTCACTCGTGTGGCCAGATCTGTCTATCTTTTATACATGCAAAATGCAAACTATGAGGCTTTCTGCTTATATTTCATCATGTAGCAGGAGCACTTCCACCCACAGCAAGGGGAAGCAATGTGGAGCCATAAGAAGGAGCTGGGGGCGAATAGGCCATGAGTTCAAGGAACTTTTCTGCAGGCTGCATTCAGTTTTCAAGAGTGTGGGTTGGGCATTTGTGATTTAAGATGAATCTGTAATATCAAGTCTACTAGCTGTCGGACAAAATGAAAAGTAACAGAGCCGTAGTCTCTTGGGCTATATGGGCAATGCCACTGTGGTCACTTGTGCTTGTCAGCATGGAGCCAGGTGGGTAAGAGCGCTGTTGAGAGCCATGTGTGTTGCTAAAGCAGACTGGTAGCATATATTCAAAGGACTACTAAGTTCCTTTAGCTGTAAAACCTGCAAAATCACAGCTTGCATGTGAAAAGGTCTTGCTTCAGATTTTGTTAGGCAGAAACCACGCCCTGAAAGAGTCTGTAATGTGCATGCTCCAAAGTTTGGTTTGGGGTAGGCATCTTTGGGGTTGGTGGTTGGGTTTTGGTTTTGTTTTGAAATGAGGCTGTAGGAAGAGTCTAGTAGATCTTGATTTCTTGGAACAGATCTGGCTTATCTTTTTCATCCCTCTTTGAGCAGATACCCTGCCAAACTGACTTTACAGTATGAGAACTAATTTATTAATAAGCTGGAAATGCTACTGTTGGTAAATTGTTGTACCTTGCAAGCCAATTTTTAATATTAGTGCTTGTTATTTGAACAATAGAAGAATATTTGATTCCCCACATCCTGGAATTAGAATAGAAAAGGACAGTATAGGAATGGTGTGTGTTGAGTAATAGGAACTATGCTGAGTTCATCCATAGGGATTAGGGAATTCAAAACAATTGAAGAACTGGCAGCATGCCCCAGAAAAGTGAATCCTGTTTGGAAAACCTGCAAAGGCAATCCCTTTTTACCTAAAGAATCTTGTTTTCTTATTGTGGATGATAAAGATTGGCAATACTGGAATTTTAATAGTGACCATAAATGTGACACAGATAGCAGTGGTAAAAATAATTCTTCCTGTAATTCTCTAAGACACCCCCTTCCTCCCATCCTCTCCTCCTTGTGAAACAGAGCTCTTTTATTCCAGGGCCATTTAAACTGCAGGCTGTGCTTTAAATACGGTGATATCCTCTAATTGCTTCTGGTGCCAAAATGGGGGTAAATAAACGTTTGTTTGAAAGGAAGGAATAAAAAGGAGCTTATGCACTAGTTTCCAGACAGGGCAGTCTTTTCTGGAAGTTCAGCTTTTGTTCTGGAAAATTCAGTTTCCTTGTCCTGCTCTGTTCGCATGTTTGCTTATAGATCGGTAGTGGGTAAAGTTCCCTGTTGTTATGGGTGAAACACAATGAGAATTTTGAAGTATCTGTATGCTACATGTGTGTAAGTATAACCATGTAAAACATAGGGTTTTAAAGCTATATGAGTTGCTATTTATGCAAACGAATCTAAAAATATTTAAGTGATTTTCTTTAAAAAAAGTAACTTCTATCACTCTCACCCTTAGCTACATTTGTGAACTCAGTAGTTCTGGAATTTCCTGATAAACTTGGGTTAAATAGCAGTGGTTATCAAAATCTTACCTGTGAGGTCTTTGAAAGTGGTCTGCAGGTGGTCTGCTGAGCTCTATTAACTAATAAAATTGCTAGAGTTGTTGGTTACATGTTTGCTAATGATCCAGAGGGGTGAATGGGAAATGCTGGTATTTGGTATTAGTTTTCCAGCTGAAGAAAAAAAACCAGGAAATCATTTGCTTCCTACCTGAATGAATGAATGAACATTGAGTATGCTTTGTATTCAAAAAAGTTTTTGTATGCTTACTACAATTATGGTTATTAATTTGAAAGACATGCTGTGCTAGGGAAAAAGCACAGTGTATATATTATAGGCAGATAATTTTACATATGTTTCCACTCCTTTTTCATCTCTAGGTCAATTGCAAAAGAGCTTGCAGACTGGCTTATCAGCAACAATGTAGTTGAGCACATTTTTGGACCAAATTTACATATTGAGGTTTGTATAAAATTATTATTTTTAGTATAAACATGGAGGAGTAACTTCTTGTTCTAGTAAATCTTTCCTCAATATGTTCTCACTTTGCAGATCATCAAACAGTGCCAAGTGATTCTGAATTTCCTTGCAGCTGAAGGGAGACTTAGTACTCAACATATAGACTGTATTTGGGCTGCAGCACAGGTATATATAACATTTTTATAATTGCAGGAGTGATAAAAAAACAAAACAGAAAATGGCAAGTTGATTTTGGTTTATATTCATGAAGTTGAATTTCTTACTTTTTCTTGTCTGTCTGAGTGTGTTGCTGACCAAAATTTTAAGTTAGGTAACTGCCACAATTACTGTTCTTTCATTAGATGCAAGAATTCACCAGGCTCCTTTTATACAAGAAAAAAAAAAAAAAAAAGAAGTTGTATAGCAAAGACATAGTGTTTTCACTAAGAATGGGGATGAGGATTGTAGGGTAGATGTAATATTTTGCTATTGTGCTAAATTGCCTTGCTCCTATGTATTGTAGCTTCCAATTCTGTTACTCCTGGTGGGAACAATCAGGTGAAACTTGGGGCAGTGAAGTTTGCAGCTGTGCTACAGTGCTGGTGTTAAAATCTATAGAAGGCACTGAGATTTTTTTTTTTTTGCTTGGTAAACCTGGAAACTGATAGGCTTTTTTCCTTCAGAAAGATGTATTTGTTTGCTACTTTTAATGGATTGCTATGCTTTTTATTTTAGGTTGTGAATTTTTTTATTTAGGGGATTTGAATATAGTAGACACTTTGATTTCCTGTTGTGGAAACTGTTTTTCCATGGTTTCATTCTGCCTTTATTATTAAAAAAACAAATCAAAACAAAACAAAAAAAGCCTGCCAAAAAATCCTAGAAAAAACCCTCAAGGTTTCTGTGTCAATTTTTCTGAAAAACACACTCAAAATGATGGTCAGAGAAATAAAATTGATCTTTTTGAACAGGTATAGGGAACATACTTCTATACAAGTTAGAATTTGAAGGGGGTGGTTTTTTATGTGTTCAATATTTCTCTGTAATCTGTTTCAATCAAATACTACTGTATTTGTACACATTCTGAAACCTCTGTAGTCCATTGTCATTATAACATGCAGCTGGTGTGCTAATAAATGCTCATTACAACAGCATTCACTCTAATAGGCTCCAACAGTTTCTGTATCAGAGTAATTAATAATTACTTATTTCACTTATTTTCACATTTTTAAAGCGATATTTTACCTTCCTTGATGTTTTCACACATGCAGTAATTCACACTAGTATTAGACCTCTGGATGTTTTCTATCTTTTTTACTATTTTAAGAACTTAATATCATTGCCCGAATGCAATAATTCTTCTACAGTTCGCATGTTCATTTTGACATACTGATTATTTCCAAAATGTATGTCTTTGATACCAGAATTAAGTATGTCCTGATTATTTCCTGTAAAAGGTTTAAACCTCTAATGTTCTTTTAAAGGCCGATGCCTTTAGACTAAAAGATTAGAAGGTCTTAAAAAATATATTTCCCACTTTTTAAACTAACTTTTTGACAAAAATTTATCTTGAGTTGAAGCCGATATCTCAAGATGTTTAAATGCATCCTTGTATAGAACCTACGTAATTGCATTCCAGTTTGAATCCTGTGAAAGATGGCCTGTACCCCATAAACTGCTGACAAGGATATTTGATATGCCAGGAAGGCAAAATAAAATAAAGAAAGAATGAAAAAAACCCTTTTGAGGTGCATATGTGGTAACCAACATTAAGAATGTTCTTTCTAGAAGCTTCCTGTAACCATTATTTTATTTTTTGAGTATCAACATCCTTACAAACATAATGAAACCCTTTGAGTGACTATGAAAGCAGCATTTAACCTAAGAGGAAACATCTAGAAGCACTGTCACTTCAGTGTGTAAATAGAGTAGTTAGCTAAACACATTGTCATATTTTTTGACATCAATTACTGGAAAGACAAAAGAATTGTAAATAATCCTCACACAGTTCACACAGTCTCTTCTCTCAGTCTCGTATTAGCCTGTAATGTCTTTATTTGTATTTGCCACTGCTAATAAGGTGATCATTGCAAATATTATTTCCCTCAGGATTTAGCATATACACTGATATTTTAGAAGTTACATTTAAGTTAAAATGTAAAATAAACTTCCAGTTCTTTTCACCAAATCTCCTAAAAGTGGAACTAAGGAAGGTATCATTACATTTGATTTCACTAAATTTTATATGCTGTATGATATAAAGATTAAGTTTAGTCAAAATTACAAGTCTGATGTAGCTTGGAATTATTGGATAAGTGCTTCCTGAGAATTTGTGCAAAGATGTTGTTTCATTGTTGCAATTTTATCAATCTTTTAATTTTTTTTTAAAGTTTATTTTGCTGTTCCTGTTATCTTCTCTGTTTATTTGTACTTTGTAGCTAAAGCATTGCAGTCGTTACATACACGATTTGTTTCCTTCTTTGATCAAAAACTTGGACCCTGTCCCACTTAGACATCTTCTTAACCTAGTCTCAACTCTTCATCCAAGTGCTCACACTGAACAGGTAAAGACAAGGCGAACAAAATCACCGTAACAAGAAAAGAAATTATGTTAGTATATTAAACAAGCATTATGTCTTTGTCTTTTTAAAGGAATGCATATAAAAGTAATACTAATGCGTAAGAGAGGAAACTATATGAGTAAAGTTGTGTTTCTTCACATAGGCCTCTTCTGGCGTTTGAGTTACAGTCTTTTTCAGAGATTTTTGAAGACTGCATAACCACTGATAGAAGATTTTAGCTTCATTTATGAAGTTGAAAGGTGTTTCACACAACATTATTTTGTGCATTTGTTTATTTTGATGAGTTTATTTTGGTGAACTGTAGTATTGGCATATAGAAAGATTAACAGTGGATCTTTGCATACAAAACCTACTGCTTCTTAGTGGCACTGTTATCTGGTTTTGTTTATAGACCTTGTATTTGGCATCAATGCTTATAAAAGCACTGTGGAATAATGCACTAGCAGCTAAGGCTCAGCTGTCAAAACAAAGCTCTTTTGCGTCTTTACTGAGTACCAATCTGCCCATGGGAAACAAAAAAGGTATGTGATCTTCCAATAGATCCGGTAGTTAAATTTTTAATTTTCATAGTCTCCTTGTTGACTTTGGACTAGAAGGACGTATAGAACTTTTTACTTGAAGTATTTTTAAAAAGTGTCACGCTGGCATATTTTTCAAGCAGAAGTTGAGGATAAAGAGGAAAGCATTAAAACTTTGTGAGCACGTTTGGAAAGCTTTCTGTTTCAGATCAATTCTGTTTGTATATCTAAAGTAGTATGTATTTTTCTTTTTCTTTTTTTTTTTTAAATTTTTTAATTCAGAGGATCGTCCATAACTCATCAGTTAACTCTTTCTGTTCCACTGAACATCTGTAACTTACATAGCTACATAAAATCTTACAAAAGCTTATCCAGTTTTTACCTGGTTTTTGATACTACGTGCTATTTCTGGGTTTTTTTTCGACTTGACTGTGTATTTCCCCACAGTCTTTACTAAAGGTGCTGCCAAGCCATTTTACTGTAGTTTCCCTTTCTTTTCTTACTGCTGATTTTTATGCATCATGGACAACTATATGCTGACAAAAAGATTTTTAGTCACTTATTTTTCCATCCTGCTTTTTTCCTTCAGAAGAAGAGGAGCTCAGAAGAGCAGCCCCTTCACCTTGTAAGTATAGTTTTAGAAGTACACCACAATTTGATATGTTTGATACTACAGTGTTTTTCTACAGCTATCGAATTTGAATAGAGGAAGAACTAGTAAAAGTTGGAAATTATGTCTTTATGAGAAGTCAAATAAACATTGTATTTCATGTAGAATCTAGGAAATTCATATAGCTCTGCTATATACTGGCAAGAAGAGACATCAGAATACAGGTTTTGTAGTAAAATGCTTGGTGTTCTAGAAAGATTTTTTTAGTGTTTAGGTATGCAGGTTGTTTGAGTTATATCCCTTGTTCAACTGTTTGCAGGAAGAATGCTGTTGAGTTCAACATTTGAGGCAGTTTTATGTAAAGCTGTTACATTCCAATTAATATATATCACAAAGTGACTGGGAAATGTGGTTTTGAACTAGGGTCACCCGCAGCAAGCCCTCAAAGTAGTGACAACAGTGACACCCATCAGAGTGGAGGCAGTGATATTGAAATGGAGGAACAGCTTATTAACAGAACAAAACATGTCCAGCAGCGACTTTCAGATACAGAGGTAAGAGTGTAAATCTTAGTCTGTGAATTTTGTTGCCGAGTTGCCTATTATTAGCTGTGGAAATAATTTTTTTCTGTAATCGTTTCAAAACCTGAACAGGTACATAGCATGTGTGCTTACCTGCAGCAGGATAGCAGATAGCTAGAATTTTTTACTTAGATTCTGTGCAGTTTACATAGAATATATTGTACCTTGCCTATGGACAAGTACACTACAAAAACACAGCTGCGTGCATTCAAATTGTATTTCAGTAAGATTAATCTCTTAGTAAGGGATTGCATGACATATTGTTTATCTGTCACACTGTCACTCTGTGTATGTGCAAAGCCTGTACATATGCCCTGTTACGAATAAGGTAATGCAAAAATTAAATTATTAGATCTGAATCTTGCTCAGAGCGTTTTGTCATTGGCAACCAAATCGAGAAAGAATGAATGAAATCTTACAGATTTGACACATTTCTTCATGAATGAAGAATGGTGTTTGAATGGTGATGATGTTTATTATGTATTTTCAGTGGAGTTTTATTTTTCCACCAATCTTAAAAAAAAATTTTAGGAATCCATGCAAGGAAGCTCTGATGAGACAGCCAACAGTGGTGAGGATGGCAGTAGTGGTCCTGGTAGTAGCAGTGGCCACAGTGATGGATCCAGTAATGAGGCCAACTCCAGTCACGCAAGCCAGTCTGCTGGAAGCCCTGGCAGCGAGGTGCAGTCTGAAGACATCGCAGATATTGAAGCTCTCAAAGAGGAGGACGATGAAGAGGAAGAAGATAGGAGTCATAATCCCCAGAAAAGCAGTAGGAGCACAGATCTACGAAGCAGGAAACTAGAATCACAAACAGGCATTTGTCTGGGAGAGTCACAAGGGGCATCGGAGAGGAGTGGTGCAAATAATGGGGCAGGGAAGGACCATGTTTTTAACACGGACTCGGTGACACCGGTGGATAATCGAATTAGAATGCTTGATGCTTGTTCGCATGCTGAGGATGCAGAGCATGATATGACGGGGGAAATGAGCACTGCTCACATTTCACAAGGGTCTCAAGATTCTTGTATAACTCACACGGGGGACTTCCTTGGGGAAACTATTGGAAATGAATTATTTAACTGTCGACAGTTCATTGGGCCGCAGCATCACCACCACCACCACCACCATCATCACCACCATGACGGGTAGGTAGCCTGACATTTCTTCTGATTTCTTCTATAACAGAAATAAAAGTGGTAGCAAAATACTCAAGTTTGGGCAGAAATTTATATGGACGTTTTGCTGTAGTTCAGGATAATTTTGTCTAACAGATGATAGTTGTTGCAGACAGTTAACGCAGTAATCTGTTTTGTTAACGTCTGATTAAAGTTTTTTGTATTGATAAATAAGGCAACCTTTAATAAAATGTTAAAATTGTTTTGGAAAATGCTGTATTTAGTTAACATTAAAGAAGTCAACACAATCATCATGATAGTGAGACCTTCAATTTATCTGTAATTGTTTTTCAAATTCATATGAAGGTCTGCTGTTCAGACAGATGATTCATCCTGACTTTAGCTTTAGGGAGATGTCTACTCACTTGTAGTCTGCTGTAAACAACTTTCTCTTTGATATTGTCCATTCTAATATTCTTCTTTTACAGACATATGGTTGACGATATGCTAAGTGCAGATGATGTCAGTTGCAGTAGTTCCCAAGTCAGTGCAAAATCAGAGAAAAATATGGCTGATTTTGATGGGGAAGAGTCTGGCTGTGAAGAAGAGCTTGTACAGATTAATTCACATGCTGAGCTAACATCTCATCTTCAGCAGCACCTTCCTAACCTTGCCTCTATCTATCATGAACATCTTAGTCAAGGTAAGAGTGATACAAAGAAAACAGGAAAACATTGTTCTTCTAACTCGGTTTTATATCATTTTGCATTAGTCTCCAGTAGTTAAAATAATCAAATTACTTTAACCGTATGGGTGTACCTGCCCAAAGACACTACAGTGACTACTGAGATTTTACTGTTTCTCCAAGGGATTCATTTTTGTATCTCATTAGATGTAGCTGTATTTCCCCATTTAAAATTTTTTTCCCCCCATTTCTACTGGAGCTTTTAATGCAAGTTAAAACAAATGAAGGCACTTAAGCACCTAGCAGATGTTTTTTCTAATCAGTTATTAAAGTAAAAAGGAAGGTGGTACAGAAATGTGAGATTTTTTCTTTTCTCTCTGAAACCTTACGCGATTCTTCTTCTGGTGGGTGGATCTTATTGTGATTCTGTACATTTGTCATCTTAAGTGAATTAACCATAATGGGCTGTACAGAGGATAATTTTGGAAATACATGTTAAAATACAACTTGATATCTTAGGGAGCTTGCCTTAAAGGGCATTTTATGCTATTTCATCTTACACTGCCAAATCTTCTATTTTACTTCAGGGTGCAATTTAAGATGCTTCTAAAACACTTCTCAAGGATCATCTTTCCATATGCTATTGTGGCAGCGCTATTTTCTGTTTTATCCTCCTTTTAAATATAATGGAGGGTATGGTTAGTGAAGGTTTGACGTTTTTCTTCACTGGTCTGGCAGAACCAAGTTTGCGATCTTCCAGCAGACAGTAAAACCAGTACTATTTATATCTTTTCCTGAAACACAGTGGAGTAAGAAGTCTCTTTTTTTCCTTAGGCTTAACATTTCTTGTTATGTGGAACTGAATTATAATTTCAGCCTGACATTGAAAATTTGGAAGGATTTTTTTTCTATACTGCAGAGTTGAATAAACTACTAAAACTTTGTAGATAAAACATGCTGTAAATCAGCATATTTTTTCAATATTTTCCATAGATACTACACATCTTACTGAAAATCCAAATTATTGTTTGAGCATGAGGCCTTCAGCGCAGATTATTTTTGACACCCCTAGTTTTGCACGTGCGAATAATTACAGTGTTCTGCACGCAATCTAAATTTTCTACTTGACTTTGCTGTTACATGAAGATAGTATCAAGTAGTTGATAAATGAATGGTGCCAGCTGTGGCCAGACAGAAGAAGGAAAATGTCTATCAGTGTTTATGAAAACATGATGAGTTTCTAAAATCATGCACTTTGATACTCTCTTGTGTATTAAAAATGGTGTTTGTTTTTCCTGTTTTTTAGTTAGACATAGGAGATCATGCAGTATGAGGGGGATTTATTGAAAAGCGCTTCTTTCTTGCTTTCCAACCATGTCAGTTATAAAGATACCTCCCTTTGGAGCACAGTGCTACAGAAAGACTATTTTAATTACACTATGAATTAAATCCAATTAAAAAGCAATTGCACCTACATCTGCAGTTCTTAAGTACTGTTTTTATTGCACCTTGCCATTAGCCAAAACCAGTGTAAATATTGGCTTAACTATCCTGCTGACTTATTGTACGGTCATAATGTTTTGTCATCTTTTAAGAACCCATATGTGGAAAAAGGCTGCAATTACAATGTTGTTGTATGCACTTTAAAGTAGCCAGGTTTACAAATAAAGCATGTTGTTGTTCATGCACTTAGGGAATAATGTTCAGATTAGATAGTTCCTTCTATTTATTCAATAACGGTCTTTATATTTTGTTCAGGACCAGCAGTTCATAAACATCAATATAATAGCAATGCGGTGACGGACATTAATTTGGATAATGTTTGTAAGAAAGGAAATACCCTTTTGTGGGATCTGGTCCAGGATGAAGATGCAGTAAGTTGAATACCAGAAAATAATATTTTTTAAAAGAAAATAAATATATACTATTCAGTGACCTTTTTTTCTACTTGCTGTAGATTCATCTCTCTGAAGGGTTAATAAATGAAGCAGAGAAGCTGCTCTGTTCTTTAGTATGCTGGTTCACTGACAGACAGATTCGAATGAGATTTATTGAAGGCTGCTTAGAAAATTTAGCAAACAACAGGTAACTTAAATCATAAATTATCTGTTTTTACATTTATCTATTTTTGCAACATATAGGAAATCCAAGTTGACTGTAACAGTTATTTAACTTCACAGGAAGAGAAGTTAAACCAGACAAAAGCAAAAGTATAAAAATAGTTTTCAAGGTGTTATGGATGTATCTGATGTTCCATTCTTCTATTCTATCAATGTCCTGAATTTCTCATCTTGTTGCATTTGTCTGTTCTCCCTTCTGCCAGAGGTTACTGCCCTCCTACCAGTTGGTAAAATCGGGTCCACATCTTAGCCAGTTGAGTGCAAGGTCAAGTGCCTTAGCATAAGCATTTTGAATTGAATATTTAGATTTTACATGCAAGTGGCTAAGGAACAGACAAGTTCTTTTCCACCAAGTCTATTGTGGGGTTTAATTTCTGTGAAGAAGCAGCTGGAGGTAGAAGTAATACCTTGACCTCAGATAACTTGCTTTCATACCAGCCAAAGCTATGAGATTGTACAGTTTGAAGACTGGCAAAAGTGGAATTTATTATGTTGATACAACCAATCAACTGCTGGACATCACCTGCAATGTTATGTTGTTAACTTTTTGTTAAGAAATGTATTTGTAAGATGAGTACAAGTCTACTAAGATATTAATTAATAAAAGAACTGTGAAGGTACTCATTGCTGATACGAAAGTTCTGTTACATGCAGTTTATGCACGCCTTGAATTTTCCTAGATAGTTATCTTACAATACACATCTACTTGTGTCTGTAATGAGTTTGAGGCAGATTTATTTCTGCTGTCATCTGTTTGTAGAAAAACCGTACTCATTTTGCTCAAATTTCAAAAGGTAAGTATTATGAAACTCAAAACTAAGAATTTCTCTTTTGAAATTTAAGTAATTTTTAATAAGCAAGATGTATACTGTTTTATTTTTATACTTGTCCAACAGCTGTGTGTCCAAGGTATTACTTGTAAAGAATTTGGAGTATGTGTAGTACAGATTCAGAAAACTAATTGGCTGACATGATAGTAAACCTCACATGGATATTTCCAGTCCCTTCAGTTATCCTATTTGCTCACTGAACCTGAGCTTCTCAAAGTAATTTTAAAATGGACTATTTTAATTTTGTAACAATCATATATTGTTGTCATTTCTCTCTTTCTCCTTCAGATCAGTAGTAGTTTCACTTCGTCTTCTTCCAAAGCTGTTTGGTACGTTTCAGCAATTTGGGAGCAGTTATGATACACATTGGATAACAATGTAAGTAGCCCCCAACAGAAGTGATGACATTTAGGGGACTGCTCTAGGTTTGCTCCTTTAAGTGTGGTCCAAATTAATAATGACCTAAGGTTATCATCTGTCTGTTATCTGGCCTAGTTGTATGAGCTTGCCTAATCACTCAGGTCTAGATTTCTTCATAATACGCACTACTGTCGTAACTGAAGTGAAGACTAATTTATGTATTTTTTTTTTTTTTTAATCTCCACCCTTTAAATCCCAAAGGACTTGCAGACAGTACTAGACATCCAGTAACAGTGTACTGTAAAAGGTTGTAATAACTTGATGTTACGTCATTCTGGTCTCACTGTATATCAAATGCTTCTCAGTAATAAAAGATTTGATTTATAAGAAAACCATTAAAATGTGAAGATACATAGTATAGCATGCCTTGATATAGCTAGCTGGTCTAACTGTAGAGAACAGACTACCGGAACTTCTGGGAAAGATTACAGTGATTATCGGCAATTTTTCTTGTCTTTTTTGACATGACGTTTAAATATATGCCTGGTTCTGAGTTTTAGCTTAGACCTTTTCTGAATTAGGGCCTTTAGGAACAGTTTTCGTGGTCTCAAAAGGGAGGGTTCTCTGTCAATTCTATGCCTGAAAATAACGATGATGAAAAGGAAGCAGAGAGTACCGTACTGGAAAATACTTCTGAATTCATGGTAGATGGCAAATGGAATGTGTACTTTGGTTTTACGTGTATGCAGTTTTCCTGTAATAGCTTTCTAATTTCTGTAGCTTTTCTGATCTTTTAAAGCAACCTGTAATACTTTCTGCCCTTTAAATTGACACAGGTGGGCAGAAAAGGAGCTTAATATGATGAAACTTTTCTTTGATAATTTGGTACACTACATTCAGGCAGTCAGGGAAGGACGACATAAACACGCATTGTAAGTACACAACTGACTTGGATATTTTATGTTTTTAAACGTTTCTTTTCTGCTTTTCTTCTGGTGCTTCTGATGTTTTTTTTTTTAAATAGCTTCCTTTTCCTTAAAAAAACCCACACAAAAACTCTCATGTCATTTTTGTTAGACATGATGTTGCATATTTGTTTACAAATAAAGCACGAAGATTTTATATATTCAAATCAATTTAAAGTGATTTCATATCATAAAACTATTCAAATGTTTCAGTTTTAAAATCTGTTATCATTAACCTTTGCAGTAGTTTTCTTCTGTTTAACACATCCATCCGCACTTTCCAATCTGTATGATTAAAATTAGGTGTATATACACAAGTGATACAATTTCTAGCTTCCCAATCCTGGAGGAATCGCCTATTCATGTTTTGACAGATGTCAAAGTCAGTATGTAAATATGGCCATCCACAATTAAAAAATGTTGCTATTTATGGGTCAAATTTTTACTTCATCATACACCTTTATATTGGACATTGCTCTAATGAGAAATTACTTCAAAAGCTGTTTGAAAGTGGGATGAATTGCTTTAAATTCAGGCAAAACGATATGTTGTTCTGCTCCTTTGACCATGAAGCTTCTGCCTTATAAATAGATATAAGGTTAATATTTTTATAATAGTTATGAAAATATTTTCATAAAGAGTGTGTATCAGCTGGGATCAGAAATTCAGAGTAGAAATATCAGCATTTTACAAGTTAGGGAAAAAATTAAGGTCAGATCCTGCAAGGTGCTAATGACAGAATGATGCACTTGAATTGCACTCCCACCACCCCCAAAAAACAACAGGAAAAGTACCTTACCTAGTAATGACTAGTGTGTCATTCCACTTGTGTGGTGTGGCTCTGTAATGTGTACAACTGGAGTCTAGACTATATACCGAACCGGAAGTTCAGAAAGAAACTTAGAAGAAAAAATTATCTATGCGTTTGAGAGGCACATGTGTGAGTGGGGAAAAAAGGTATGACAATAAACAATCAAATAAACTTCTGTTTTTATGCAAATCGAAATTTTAGATACAGCCACAGTGCAGAAGTTCAGGTTCGTCTTCAATTCCTGACGTGTGTGTTTTCAACTCTAGGATCACCAGATCATTTCAGTAAGTATTTGAGGTTACCTTATCAGAGAAGCACCTCGTAGTATGGCTCACATAGTTTTTAATAATCAATGTTAGGTTAAATAAATACAGTATTTTAAAGAGACACAATTTTAAATAATCTCTGATACTGTTTCAAAAGAAGCAAGACTTTTGATGAAAGCACAGAACCAACATTGGAGTTTAGATTCTGTTGCAGTTCTGTGAGAACAAATTTTTATGTCCTCTGTGCTTCAGTTTTTGTAAATATTACGATTGTAGTAATTACTGCAAGGAAGATAATGTATTCCCTATTTGTGGGTTTTGGTTCATGTCCATAATGTTCCCAGAGATCTTTCACTGGAGTGAACTGTAAGTTGTGATACCAAAAAGGAATAATTCTTTATATTTTAATACTGTCAGAAATTGGTTTACACTCCCTGTAGGGTCTGTTGCGAGAGTGGTATTCTGTATGGTAGTTGATCTGTGCAGATGCTGAAATCTTTTCACAGGTTAAAAATAGAAATCTTTTGATGTGGCTGATAGAATTTGAAGTTGAACGTAATTTTCTGTGGTTTTAGTAACCTCTGGTGACTTCCCCTACCATAAATTGTTTTGCCACTCTCCTCTTAAGCCCTTGTAAACTAATGGCCTTCAGTGTTGTCTCAGCATCAGCTCTGTACAGACTTTGGGTTGATTGTATATTGAGGTCATTTATTAAAATTACTGAAGGGAGGAGTCATTTGGGTAGTCTCTATAGGTAGTCAAAGTCGGCATGGCTTGTCCCTCTGGTCATTAGAGTACAGGAAGGAATGAGAATATCTGTAGCCTAAAGAAACAAAAAAAACCCTTGTAACACCGTATTTGCAATTGTTGACAGGATAGCCACAAATCTTTTTAAAGAAATTTGTTGGGATCACAACTGTTTATATGCCAACTAAGAAAATAAACCTACAGTTTTCTTGAAAGGAATAACAATGAAATAGTTAGAGAGATACTATTTTTAGCCACAGTCTCAATACGCAGGTCAAAGCTGGACTCTAGGTTGTGCCCAGTAATTATTTATGAACTGAGAAACAACCTGCTGTTTGGTACGAGATCTCGGGTCAGCCCACGTTACTCATTAGTTTAGTAACAACTGACAGCCCTAATGACCAAAAACTGTAGCTGATTGCCAGCTCTAAAAGGGGAAAAGTGTACAATTTCTAATTGGTAGGTGGTGCATTTTTCTTTTGTTCTTTCCAAAAACTTCTTGTCCTGACAAAAACTATTCTGATTTTTAGAATATCGCTATATATTTGATGTTATAAAGGAGTAGTTAAAAATACTTCCCTAATTTTAGGGTTGAGTTTAGAACAAGTGGACATACTGTGGCACTGCTTAGTAGAAGATTCTGAATGTTATGATGATGCACTACACTGGTTTTTGAATCAAGTACGAAGTAAAGATCAGCATGCGATGGGTATGGAGACTTACAAGCATCTTTTTTTGGAAAAGGTATGTAGAGAGTTAATTGCAACCTTATTAGTTCTAATAACAGTGTTCCTTTCCATATCAGCGTTATTTAACATATTTTAAATCGTTTCTATGAAAAATATGTCTTCAGTAGTTTGGAAGGGCCCCATTTGTCATGCAATGATTTTTCTCTTCTTGTAGGGAAGAGAGGAATGGGTTGGCGTGAATTCTTTTCACACTAGTATTTACTTGAGTGTTTCTTTGCAAATAGGCTGTGTGTTGTATCTGAAGCTATGTAGCGCTTCATTTCAATTTGAAAAAACGCCACCCAAAACTATACTTTCCTTTGTGATATATAGCTACCTGACTAAAAAAATTGCTTTTCTTCTTTTTGGGAGGGGTGTATAAATCTCATCAATACATCCACTGAAAACACGAGCGTGCAGCAGTAGAGCTTTTTGCAAGCGGTCCCATCCATTTCGACAGATGACATTACAAAATGGATAGATTGTGCAATAATTAATGTAGTCTAGTTCTTTTTCAAGGTTACACAGTTTTTGTCTAGTTTTGTAAGCATATGACTTTTTTGAACAGACATGTCATGTATGCTAACAAATTGTCCTGCTGTTAAGTTAAGCAGCTAATGTTTACAAGAATAATTGTTGTTCCCTCTGCACTGTTACAGTCCAAATCGGGGGTAGAGAGAAGAGGTTTTTGTTTAAGCCAATTATAGTTGATTTTTTTGTACTGTATATAGAATTCAGAGAATGTGATCTTTTGCAAGAATAAATATTACAATTAAAATTGTACTACCAAATTTGAATATAATTGGTAGTAACAATGACATTTTTCTGTGCTAATGAAATAAATACCCTGTAACTGCTATCCGTTCTGTCACTGAAATTTTTTTTCCATACTAAAGTGCATTCATTTTATTTAGATGCCACAACTAAAACCTGAAACTATCAGTATGACTGGCCTAAACCTCTTCCAGCATTTGTGCAATTTGGCTCGATTGGCTACTAGTGCGTACGATGGTGGCTCAAACTCAGAGGTAAGCCTGGATTCTGTGCTCATGTTTTTTCTTCTTTCTTAGGGAAGGGAAAAATTAAATTGCTTACCTGTAAAGGTGTACCTCTCGACTTATTGGCTTGAATATTGTTTACTGGTTTGAGATAATAATGTCACAGCCTGTAGTGGTGGGATTTGTGCAGATTTCCGCCTTGAGGAGAGCCCTGGAAGCTCAGGGCGTAAAAGTTCCAAATGTAGGCCAGTGAAATGGAAATGAAAAAGGCCAACGATCCTGAGCTTCCCTCATTACTCTAAGCACGTGTGGCTTTTGTCTCTAGAGGTAGAGATGAGAAACTACAAAGAAACTGATACCTGTTGCCTGCCTATCCTTGTGCAGTTTATCATATTCTTAGCATAACTGAACTGTATTCACTGCTGTGTTTAAAGAATGGGTTTGTAACATTTGCTTTTATAAATGAGAAGATTCAGATGAAAGTCTATTAGGCATATTTAATTCTGACTAGAAAGCTGTTGTAAAATGTGTCTCAGTTTACGTATGATGTGCTTTAGAAGCTTTTCTTCTGTAGTTTTTTATACAGAGAAACTATCTTAGAAATAAAGTTACATATAGGATATTTTTCTGTGAATTGATTTGAGGCAATTTTTTACTAAAATTTCTATTCTTGCAATGAATACCAATGATAGTTGTGGTTTTAAGGCTTCATTTAAAAGTATTCCTGTTTGTCAAAAATGAAAATTCACTCTCTTGGAATTTTAACCAGTTCTCCTCATGCTTCAAAGTAGGAAAATTTTTCTGTGAAAGTCAGAATTTTATAGTAATTCATGTGTGTAGTGATGAGAGCCCGAGCAGAGGAAAAATGGAGATATTTTTAGTAGTTGCATCAAGAGGCAAATAAAACATCTCAGGTCAGAAGACCATCACTCTGAGTAAAATAATGAAGCAATATTTTGTTTCTGTGCTTGTTTTCCTTTTGTCAAAACAGTTGTGTGGCATGGACCAGTTCTGGGGTATTGCTTTAAGAGCACAGTCTGGTGATGTCAGTCGAGCGGCTATCCAGTATATCAACTCCTATTATATCAATGGTATCATTTTTTATTTTTGTTTTCTGTTTAAAGTATTTTAAAGAATATCTAGCATTATCCTCTTTCTATTCGTAGTATTAAAATGCATAGTCCCAAAGTTGTGCATATATAATTTACTTTAACTGATATTACAGGTAAAACTGGTCTGGAAAAAGAACAGGAATTTATTAGCAAGTGTATGGAGAGTCTGATGATAGCTTCTAGTAACCTTGAGCAAGACTCTCATTCAAGTCTGACCATTATTGAAAGAGGACTCTTAATGCTGAAGACACACCTGGAGGCTTTTAGGAGAAGGTAAATAGCTTCATTGATATATTTGGAGGCAGCATTTATTTACATTCCTCCTATCATAATGATAAATGAGTTATGAGTTATTATTAAGTATTGGCTTCTTTGTTTTTCATTGTGTAAATTAAAGACAGTAGTGGAGAATTTTGAAAGCTAATATATAAGGTTTAAGCATTTACAAGAGTTGGCCCTTGTCCTTGTATAAAGACATGGATGTGGTTCATGTCTCCCCATCCCTCACCAAAAAATCTTTTTCGAAGTTATTTTAGTTTTATTTGAAAAATAGTGAGAACATCAGTAACTTCCTCTTGTTTTGAAAAAACAGTGAATAGAGGTGCAAGTTTTGTCTTTCCTCTTACTGTTTATCAAACATTTGTGTTAAATAGGTTTTGACAAAAATACTTTTTCAATGTTTTTACCTGCCTCTTAAGGTTTGCGTATCATCTGAGGCAGTGGCAGATTGAAGGCACTGGTATCAGCAGTCACTTGAAAGCCCTGAGTGACAAACAGTCACTCCCACTAAGAATTGTATGTCAGCCAGCTGGACTTCCTGACAAGGTAGTTAAAAGCCCTTTTACAAGGACACCCTACATTGCTAAATATCAGTAAGTCCACTGGGCACTTTGAAAAATAAAATACATCTTTTATTTCAGATGACTATAGAAATGTATCCTAGTGATCAGGTGGCCGATCTACGGGCAGAAGTCACCCATTGGTACGAAAACTTGCAGAAGGAGCAGATAAATCAACAAGCACAGCTTCAGGAGTTTGGCCAAAGCAGCCGCAAAGGGGATTTCCCTGGTAAGCTATAGTACTCATGTCTGTATTTTTTGCCCTTACAAGGGTTCATCCATTTAGAGCTTAGAAGATTACGGTCTTTTCCTTCCCCAGATATCCTAAATAAGCAAGCATTATGATTTATTTTCCTCTAGCTGTAGTTACAGCTAGCATCACCCTCGCTTTTAATTAATAATGTTGTTTCTTCAGCACTACCATTTATTTGAAATAGCAAAGATGATGTACATCTGCCAAAGGTCCTTAGATCTAGCCAAGCTCCAAGTCGCAATAGATTTGCCCCCACATTATTTTTCTTCTCATTGTTCTTTTAATTAATTATGTTGTTTTCTGTAATTTGGAGGCTCTGTTACATAGAACCTTAATCTGTGTTTTGTGAAATGTATACATTTCTGGCTCTGCCGTTGATTCAGAATTTGAAGTCATAATTCAAATTCATAATTTATACCCTACATATATGTATTCCAGTCAGGTGTAAGATTTTCCTTACTCCTGCAACTGCTTTTTAATTTATGATCATCCTGTAGCAAAAATGATCATTCATCCTCTTTTTCATGCTCTTAATTTGGAATGTCACCTTGCTCCTGAGGTGGTCATTGTTTGCTTACAGTGTGATGAATACGCATCCTGTTGTTTTTCCCTTTCTTTATGCGTTTTTGAGTGAATGAAAATTTCTGCTGTATCCTTTAGGAGGAGGACATTTTCTAAATCCTACTGATGCTATATATCAGGGCATTCTTATTAGTTATTGCTGTTGAAAATGTTACTGTTTTCTGAATTATCTTCTCAATGTTTTCTTTCTTTCTTTCTTTCTCATTATGAGCAAGAGTTAGCATGTAATGCATATTATCTGAACAAATTCTGTCCATGAACATCTTTTTCCAACACCACTGCCCATTAGTATATGTGTAAACGTGAATCTGACTTTCTTTTCATAGTTTAACAACTTCTAAAAAATGTGTTTTAATGAGACACACTGTCAGTAAACCAGACTGAGTTTTAGACATTCTAATTACCACCTTTGTGAAATCCTTTTCCAGCCACTCGTCAGAAGCTGTTTTAGTGAAGAAACTATCTTGTTTTCCACCAAGTATAGCCGCGTAGCAGAAATTTTTGGTTTTGTTTTACTGGGATTTTAGGAACACATGATTCAGAAAATTCAGAATTGCAGTCCTACAGCAGCTGCAGTTCAGTCGTGTTACATATGTACATATGTCTTTTGTTTTGTAGAGTGCCTGTGTTGGTATCTGTAATTTTGTACCCTTTTTGTGGATGTTGTTTTATTTTTTCCTGTGTTTATTACACTAATTATTAACACACCATAACTATGGGAAACTGGAGAACCATGAAATTTGTATCTGTCAATTCTAAATCTAGCGTCCTTTGCTAGGTTTAAAACCTGTGTTAATGCCTCCAATTGCTTCATCTTGTAATTGATACATGTGTTGGCTGATAGGTGCATAAAGTCCTGTAAGAGGCTAAATATCTTATTAACCAAACTCCTGAAGAAGGGTTTCTGTATTGTTCTGTGCATGCCACCGTGCGTTTGGAATAATCTAGTGACATGATTTCTGCTTTGCGACTGCTAATTTTGAGAAAATAGGGCTGAAACTGAGACTTGCGGTTAAAACCTGTAGTTTTACTCATCCATACCTTATTTTGGGGACTGTTTTGTATAGATTTTAAAAAAAGAAAGAACTTTCTAAAAGCATTTTGTTGGTCACAAAGATCTCTGTGAATGATAGTTCAGCGTATTGACTGTTTACACTTAAAAACTTGGGTCATTCTGCATCACAGGAGACATGTATTGTAAGGTACATAGTGCACACTTCTGTCTTGGTGACCTTTTACTACGTCCATTTTAATATACCTGTACTAGTTAATCTACAACAAAAAACAATTCCTGGTTAAGAACCTGAAATGGTGACTATTTCATCAACTTAGGTAGAAATCTGAGCAGAGATTCCAAATTCCAGGAAAAATTAAAGGCTCATGATGTCAGAGTACAAGTTTTCCTCTTGCCTTTTCTTTATAGAGCTAAATCTCATTGTACTTACTTGGGGTTTAGTTGTTTTCTCAGGTGGGATTTCAATTTCACGAAATAGGTAGACGTAGTAGAATATTTGTATCAACTTTTGGCTGTTGGAATTCTGACTTGCACTTTTTTTGCTTCTTTTTATTTGTTTCATCTGTTGTGAACTGACTGGCACTTTCACACTGTTGGCCTCCTTTAGTGCTCCTGTTAACCTGCCTTCTCACCATTGTGATGGCCATTTCATTTTCAGCATCTTTGCGCAAATTGTCACTTTCATTTTCTTGCTGTTGGGATGCATGAACAAACGGGATGTCTGAAGTGACAGCAGTCACATCTAACGCCTGCTGTCTTAAAAGGAAGTTTAGCTTGAGAAGATGAAGACACTGAAAATTAATGTTTAACAGATTGTTACAGAAGTGAGGTAACTATTAATGTAGAAAGTGAAGCTGCAGGTTCTGAGATGGGCTAAAAGAACCTCAAAGCATTTATTAGTTACAGGTACATTTCTGAAGTTTTTGCCATCAAGGTTCTGCCAAGGGAATATCCAAGAATGCCCACTAGCCAAAACTTTGGGAATGCATCTGTAAGTAGTAGATGCATTCACATGTATTAAATGTTCCTTTTAACTCTCTTTCACTGTAATAAACTTATTTTTTTTTTTCCTTTTACCAGACATTTACCACATAATTCTTTTGAGGTCCCAATATCTATTGTAACATCTCTTGCTCATTTGAAATCTGCATTGCTCAAAGAAATGCGAGATTGTATTTGCTTCTCACTCAGGTTGTTTGTTGTATTCTTTCTTCTGAAATCTGTTACTAGTTTGCTGAAGTGCAGAGGATGGTAGATTTCTGTATTATTTTTGTGGATGATGATGCATTTGCCTACCTTTATCTGTTTGAAATTATTTTACCTGACTGCATTGATAAGTTTCAAAGCAGCCAGCTGAGGAGGACGGGAACAGTGGTAGATATGTGAGATTATGCCCAACTCCACGTAAAACCTTCCTGGTTTTACTGTTAACTGACAGATGTCTTTGGAGGGCTGCTGTCTATCCAGTTTTTCCCAAGAACATCCCAGAAATTTTGTTTGGGCAGGATTTGAGGATCATATGTGCTCGCCTGATACCTCCATTTATCTGGCAGTCCCATCAAAGTTACTGTGTGTACATCTCACTGGTTTGCTCCAGTTTGGAAACGTCAGCACTTGGGCGTGTATCTCAGCTGGTTTTGGGAAGCATCACCTGGATTTATTGCGTGCATACATCAGCAGAGATTGTGTGGCTGCAGGGTGCAGGTGAGGGGCTTTCAGTAATTACCAGAAGCAGCAGGCTCACTGCGCGTGCTCTACGCCATGCATGTCTTTATGACAGTGAAAGAATGAAGTTGAGGTTTGCTACGCATACATAGGCTTTTTTTGGTTCAACCCATGTCTTTGAATATTATGTTCCTATAGGCATGTAATACACTGCTTTGAAGCATTTTCAAGTTACAGAACTCTGAGTACTTCCTAAGATTTCAGTAAGAGGTTTAAAAAAATTGAAGAAGCCTCATTGAAATCCCAGTGTTGAAGTAGAGTGGCAGTGCAAGGCTGCTCTGCACTGGTGTGGAGGACCGGGGCCTAGTGTTGGAAGAAGTGTGCTTGTAAGAACAGTGGCTGAAAAGCATAGCAAATTTCAATCCATGACAAAAATCTTTGTCCACCGGAATTGGTGGTTAGAACTATATGACTACTCTGAGGTATAAAGTCATTGTGCATTGCCATGCTTGGTTACTGCTTGATTGTCTGCACCAAAGGAAAGGAAATTCTTCATCTCTTAATTGTTCAGATTTCTTGTTCAACGTTGAGAATTTTTTGAAGGGTGTTCTCAGTTTTTCCTTTCTGATGCATATGACATCTTCAGTTCCACCTTACATTTAAGTAAGATTAATCATCGCTTCTTTGCCTTTGCTGACTTTATCACAGATGTGTGCTACAAAAGGATTTTGTTGATGATCACAATCATTTTCTATTACCCTTCTTTGGCATAGCATAATTTACTACAAAATATAGAAGGCATGTTTTAATCTGCATTGCGAACACTTCTCAGTACAAGATGGGGTGAACTGTTACTGAAAAGGTTATTTTTGAATACATGCAAGTAAATTTAGTTTAACGTAATAACCAGTTTTTGTAAGGAAATTGCATTAAGTTTTTGCCTCATTTTAATTGCTACTGAAGGGTGTACTATTAAAACAGGTCTTAATTAGAAAATGAAACTATGTGTGGTGGGTTGACCCTGGCTGGACGCCGGGTGCCCACCAAAGCCGCTCCATCACTCCCCTCCTCAGCTG